TTTTTTTTTTTTTTTTTTTTTAATTTTTCTTTCTCTTTTTCTGTGTGATTGTACATTACGAGAATTTGTATCGGTGAAATATCGTCAGAGTTTATTGCTTAATTTGTGTTCTCGGTTTTACTTTCACGAGGATGAGTTGATGAATGTAACGTTGATTGGGACTTATTAAAATTTGGGTTAAATGGGTGAGTAATTGATGATTATTATAAGTTTATTGAATTTTGATTAAGGATGTGATTCTGAAATCTAAAATTTTTTAAATTATTTTTATGATTCGAAATTTTTCGAAAATTAAAAAATTTTGAATTCTGGAATTTTCAAAGCTTTTTAATTTTTCGAAAATTAAAAAGTTTTGAATTCTGGAATTTTCAAAGCTTTTTTTGTTATTTTTAGAATTCAAAATTCTTCAAAAATCAGAAAACTCTGAATTCTAGAAATTTTCGAATTTTTTTCATTATTTTTGTGATTTGAATATAAAAAGTTTTGAATTCTCGAATTTTTTTTTATATGTATTAAAAAATATATAATAATAATAATAATAATATTTAAAAATAACTAAATAATTTTCTATAGATTCCAGAATCAAATAAGCATAATATTACTGGAAAAAATTACTAGAAATTATTCCATCTAAATAATTTCTTAACTAATGAATCAATTTAAAAAATTATAACTTTAAAACTTTGTTTTAATTCTAGGATTAGTAATTCATATAAATCTTTTAATTGTTTAGAAAAATAAATATATAAAAGTTATTTTAATTAAATGTATCTATAAAAAAAAATATATTAGTGAAATTTCATATTTATATTTTATATAATATATGAGTACGTATACGATATTTCTCAATTAATTTAAAAGATAAAATTGAAATACGATTTGATTGAAATAGATAACTTACATGTAACTTGATGTTTCTTTTTTTTCTTTTTATGTTGAACAAATTGAATTTACAAATATAAAATATTACAGAAACAATTCAATTGTTAGGAAAGATATATTACCAGTTAAAAGTTTAGAATTACTTTTCTACTTATAGTTAGATTAAATTGTCTATTAATTTTATAACTAATTATCCATAGATTAGCCTATATATTAACGCCTAGTCGATTATAAATTACAAATTTTAATTTGCAAATAAATTATAAATGTACATTTTCCAAATGTGCAATAATTTAATTAAACTTTCTACATTTAACATGAATTAAAAATGACTCAGCGTCACTTTCCAATCATTTATAATCAATCCAATTCTTAATCTTCCAAGGGTTGTTTTATATATAAATAAATTTTTCATTTCTGAAAAATTTTATTTTTACAAAATCTTTCAACCAAACAAATGATTACAATGAAACTTTTTTAGATTTTTTGAGAAGGGAAAAAAAATAATTGTGGACAAATGTCAAAAAAAAAAAAATTGTAAAAAAAATTTTTTAAATTAAAAAACTTTAAATTAAATTTTTGTAAATAATAAAAAATTAATAAACTTTAAATAATTACATATTTATACAAATATTTTTATTTTTATTATGAAAAAATTTTCTAAGCTAAGAATATTCTAATTATTTTTTCTTTTTTTTTTTTAATTTAATTTACAGATTTCATGAATTTCAAAATTTTGGTTAATAATATAAGAATCATTAAGTTGTTTTAATCATTAGGTTGTTTTTATAATTTTCTCGGAGAAAGTATATTCGGATGACATGCTCATCACCTTGAAACCGCAAAATTATCTCTAACACGTTCACTTTCTTTTGAATTCCATCAGTTTCCTAGTTAGCTGGAAGCTGTTCGTGTTAATTACACATTATTATGATATTTCACAAGCGATGATGCAACTGTATTTATTTACAGAAGATACAGTTTTAACTTTCATTCAAGCGGTTCGATATCGTAAATAATTCGATGTTTAATGAAAACATTTTTTGGCTTTTTTTAATTTCATTTATTATTATATTTTTTTTTAATATTTTTATATTTAGATTTTATTATTTTTTTTTTTTGAATAATAATATATAAATTATTTGAATAATAATATATGAATGAATTTGTATTGTAATTAATACAATAATAATACTTGAGAACAGATAATTATCTTGCTAGGATTAAATAATGGAGTTATAATGAAATATCGTATTCACGTATTTTATAATCATTAGATAATTCTGCAGTTCATCAACTTTTCTCTATTTTGATTATTCGGTTCTTTATTTTTTTTAAATAATAAAATATAATAATCATTAATTATTAATTGTAAATTACTGTGCAAAAGGATATAATAGAAGGAAAGAATTATTAAATTATAAAATTATTATTTGCATATAAGTTGGAAATATAACCGCAATAAACTGGAATTAACGCAGCATGACATTCAATATGACATTTCAAATCGTTGGAGGGAAGGTAAAATAGCTATAAACTTCTTTAAAATTGCTTTCAACGATTTAAATGAAAAGTATTCGTTTTATCCATTTAAAATATATTATTCGATTAGGATCTCGTCTCGAAGCGGGATTATTAGGGCTATAAACTTGAGCAAGAAACAGTATGCCAAGAGGCATCGATGGGAAAGTAACGATAACTGTAGAAGCTTGTCACGATATCGCCAATGAGACACCATCGCAATCGCAATTCTCACTCGGTATTCTTATTCTGTCGATAACTTTCATGGATCCAATTTAATAAGAAACAATGAATATTTTATCGCAAATCAAAGACTTGTTCTTCTCTTTCTTAAATATTACAGAATATTTTCTGTGATATGACATTTTTTTTATCATTGTTGTTTGTTTCCTTATTTTTAATTAAAATAAAAAATGAATATACTATTATTATATTTAATAAATTTTCCATATATTTTAAATATTATTTAAAAATCATTTTATTTATATTATCCACATTTATTTTATCAGTAAATAGAATGGAATATTAATCAACATTAATTTTATATGTTAATTAAACTAGTTTTTTTAAATTCGATTATAAAGTAATATATTTTTTAATTTGAAAATTTAAATTCTAAAAAAAAATAAAGAATTAATTTATAAACGAAAACATTAAATAAAAAAAAAATGAAGATATGTGAAATATAAATAATAAAAAATTATAACGAAATTTGAACCCATGATTCTCCAATTAGAAATTGGAATTTTTTACGTTCTGTGATCTGTTTTACAATATCCTCTTATTGTTAATTCCTTTTAATTGATAGCTCTACTTAATCCTCAAATCCTGATCGACTTTCAGAAAGTAATTAATTATTTGTTTTATATTTTTTTATCTTCCTATATTTTATTTTTTAATTTATTATTGTATATTTTATTTTTTATTTCATCTTTTTTTTAAGTATTTTATTTTATTCATTAAAAATGTTTAATTAAATTTCGTCGCAAATTTAATTAAATCATCGCAAAAATATAAACAAGTATTTCTTTCTCTGAATGAATTATATCTGCTATTCAAGTACTGTACAACATATATAGATTACATAATAGTTATCAATTTCACGTCGCTCGAAGCAAAATGGTTACACGATAACCGGGTCAACATGAACTTCGTTGAGAAATCGATTGAACGAAGGTCACCGTCCCTGCACACCTATTGAAATCTCTCCTTTCTTTTTCAGGTATGGCGAACGTGGTTCCATGGCTGCTATCAATATGCCTGTTTGGCCTCCAGGAAATCGCGATTCAACCTGGAAGCGATGCGCTTTCACGCAATCTTGAAACAAACGGTCAAAGAAGTGTGTCTTCGGGCTTTCGCTCGGTACAAACGATTTTTTTCTAGAAAAAGTTTAAATACAGAATAGTAATATATTTGTGATTTTTATTATATTTATATTTATAGGAATTTATTCTAAAGATTATAATTAATAAAAAGAGTTTGTATATAGATATATCAATTGAAACTTTTTTTATTAAATTATGAGCGATTTAATTATTTGCATTAGATAAAATGAGACGGAAAAATAAAGTGCAATGGCGGTACGACGAATATAAAGATGTTTCATTTTTAATAAAATTTTCGATTAAAAATGTTTCATGAATATATAAATATTCTGTAAAACTGAGAATTTCACAGCAAAAGATTATTTATAAAAATTTTTATTTTAATCTTATTTTAGGAGATTAAAGAACTAAAAAATGCCTACTAACTACTACTAATAATACTAACTACTAAATTATTATATATTTAACTAATAAATTATTATATATTATTATATTATATTATTTGATTTAATGTTAAAAGGAAAAAAAATTAATTGAAATTAATTAAAAGTATATATTTTTACGTAATAATTCAATTCAGTTGATAAGAATATTTCAATTTTTTATATAAATTTAGGATTGTTCTCTAATTTGCATAAAAAAATATTTATTTTATTAACAAGAAACGATACCTAAAATATATAATTTAAAAAAAATTCATAAATATAATTTATGAATT